ATGAAGTATAAAATGCGAAGGAAAAGTTGAATATTTCTGTGTATTATTCCAACATAAATACGTGTAGGTAATTGATGGGATCACTTCAGAAAGTTTTACTAGTTACCCAAGTTGTTAACATAATTGCCCGTAGTTATTAGTAAGTGTTACACCCATAGCAATTTTCGTAGTAATTTAAAGTACACGTTTCTTAGTATGCTGTTTCTAACATCGTGTTTAGTTACAGTATGTCTGGAAAGTGTTTCAACAAATTCATTTACTTGTGTTTCAGAGACAAAGGTTTGAATCTCTGCTGGAATAGCTGCTAGAAATGAGACTAACGATATGCGTGGGAGATCATGGTAAAGCGGGCAAGTGCCCATCAGGAGTTTCAGAATATTCAGAAATATATGTTGATAAGTTAACGGTTTCACTTCCCACATGCAACGTTCGGCGACTAATGCAATTAATACGTCATCTTTGTAAATTGAAAAAGCAAACAAAAACCTACAACATTTTCTGCTCGTATGTTTAATGACCTTGTTACATGAACAAAAGTCTGTCATAGTACTGAAAACTGAAGTATTTCTTTTGTATTGTTTTTCAGATAACAAACAAGTGCTGTCTATCTATACAACTCAAGTAGAACTTGATAACTACTGTTTGTGAAAAGGTCATGACGTGTTCTTTGCAGATTATTCTGCGCTACACGAGAATCATAAGCCACAAACCATATAGCTCAGACCATTACTAAGTATAATGGCCTGAACAATTGTTTTGATGTATTCAAAGTTCAATGCGTCACCAGGCTTCCACCATGCCCATATTCTTCCACTTGTTACAATTTAAATAAAACGGGATTCGTACATTTTCTTTGTTTTTGTCTTATCTTTTTTTCGATGTCTCATACATGTGGATGTTTTCAGGAACATGTATAGTTCTGCTTAAATGACTTCAGTCTTGCACAAATAATTGGAAGACTTCAGTCAAGTAGAACTGTACAGCCTACTACACACCCTACTGTTTGAAACTGGGCAGAGTAAGTTCTCAGTCATGACGTACTAATTCCTGCGATTACCAGGAACAATGCGAAAGAACATTGCCGGAATAAGACTAGTTGTTGTTTCTTTATTAGCACCACGAATGGGTGTACTCTTGCAGTTTAGGGGGTTGTAATTATTTCAGCTTCCAAACACATTTTAACCCCATAATTACCGAAGGGCTCATATCCCTCCCATCAGCCTTTTAAACACATTTATACATCAAGTTGCTCGTGGCCCTTAATAACACACGAGTCTCACACAAAAAATCAAATGAAATTTCAACAAAATGCCCTCTATGTAATTCAGATAGAAAATGGGTGATTTTCCCCAATTTCTTTAAGTGGGTTCTTTACACTGAGTGTTGTAACGGTCAATTACATGAAAATTACTCAATATTATGCAGCATATGGACCCCACCGGTAGTGAACGATATTTAAAATAATCGTATTTTAAGGTTAAATATGCATTATGTAATTACAGTGACAATTTTAATAACCAAAAGTCGGCCGCAAGCAGAATGAAGTATTCGGTATTTAAGTGCACACTATATATTCGGATTCGTTTAGCACGGTTTAAATATCTCATTGAAAATATTATGTTATGTTTGTTGTAGAAACGAAGGAAGATAATGTCAACGCTATAGAAGTTTATCAGGCATAAAATAATTTAAGTTAGGTATAAATGTCCTCTGTAAAAAATGGAATAGAATACTGCAGGTTAAATCTTCATTTCTCAATAAAGCAATACCAATTGAGGCTCCGGTTAAGTAGTAGTAGTAGTAGTAGCTTGTAGAATTACTTCCTATCTATAAAAGTGAACAGTCTAGTAATATATTTTCATTGTTAGACATCCCATGGAATTTGGTACAATTCCCATCCCAGGAGTGCTCGACTGGGTTGATATAAGGAGACCGTGAGGGTCAAGGCATGAGTTTAGTTTCACATCATTCTTACCAAAAATAAATAAACCATTCTAGAACACTATTGGGGTGGGGGTGGAGACGACATTGTTCTGAAACAGCATCACCATCTGTATAAAGGTAGAGCATGAGGCAGTGCATCTGGTCAGCCATAATCTCAAGATGTCATCTGGTCATCCAATAGAATAATAAGCCACAAACTATATCAGTTAAATATATCTCGGACCATTACTAAGTATAATGGCCTCAACAGTTGTTTTGATGTATTCAGAGTCCAATGCCTCACCAGGCTTCCACTATGCTCACATTCTTCCACCTGTTCCAAATTGAGTAAAACAGGATTCGTCAGATTACACGATTTTCTTCCACTGATTTAAAGTCTAGTCTCAACATTCACAACACTGCCTCCAATTATTCGCGGATATGAATGGTTTGCTAAGAAGCAATCTGATACTGAAATCGGTATGGCATAGTTTTAAGCGTATTTTTCGTGTATAAATGTATAAGTACTTCTTTACAATACACACACAGGTGCTTCGAACAACTGTTGATCGTCTGTTTCTCTTCATGATGGCGGACCCGTTACCCAATAGAATTATTCTTGGAGGCGATCGATTTCTCTAGCAGCTTCGATTCCAGGTACACCTTAGAGACTGTCAAGCTGGACACCTTTGTAAGTTCTGCTACAGCTTAACGAGGCAGTACGCACACTTAAGCCCTTTGTTCTTTCGCTGAAATCCAGCTTCTCTGTTGTGAAGTTGATAAAGTCAACCCACGCAAAACCCACTTGTATATACACACACCTGCTCTGTCATGTGATCCACCTTCATTTTCATAACGAAGGAATGTAATTGGTATTTGCAACAGTGGGTTTTTCTAATTTCGTGGCTAGTGAGTGTATCATGTGTTATCACATAGGCTGAACAATTTTTTTTTGGGGGGGGGGGTTATTCGCTGTTCACAAATCAAAGGAACACTTCACTACCAGGTTGAAAGTTGGTGGAACAAGCCCCTAGTGTCCTTCCCCCTGTTTCGCCGCCTACGTTATAAATTAATCACAAATATTTTAATGTATTTTGTGTTGTGTATTTGTACTCTTACTTGTAGGTTTAGCACATAACAAACAACATGCAACTCGTTTTAAGTACAGTAGTACTTCATAGTAGGGATCGTCAAGGATTCCAAATAATTCATACGTCCAAAAACAACCTATCGAATTCCTAAGCGAAAAACCAACCATTGAAAGTATTGGTTACGGTATGTTATTAACAAAGATACTAATAACACGTTAAAAAGGTTGCTAACATTTCCGATATGACAATTCAAAAATTTCTAAAACAGCAACTTTTTCGTCTGCTACCTACCTACCTTATCACGTCAGCGGGGCTAGCGCCTAGACTCCTCGGACTATCGGTACAAGATTTCTTCAGCTTGCTTAATTGGTCTGTGCCCCCACCCCCCAATGACACAGTGGTATGTGTGCGGACTCACAACACTAGAAACCAGGTTTTGATACCCGTGGTGGGCAGAGTATAGATTGCCCATTGTGTTGCTTTGTGCTTAATTACAAATAAAATGGTCTGTGGGTATCTGCTTTTGATATTCTGATGAAAAATCCATGTATACACAGATATAATATAAATGGTAAATATATCAGGCACGTACTTAAATATCTTTTCAACCCAATGGATAGTGCTACATATCAATGGATAGACACGCGACAGTTTTTAAAGGTAAAGTATATGCTTTATACAGGTATAACATAAAAAGTAAACAAACAAGAGTATTAAAAAATATGCATTTTAAAATGAAATAGTGATCCTGCTATAAAAGGTAATGAAACAAGAATTAAAACCACAATCACAAATTTATAAAATGTAATCCTTTTTTGGCAGCTTTATACACTTATCTGTAGGCCAATGTAAGGATTAAATTTTATAAACGTGATTGTGGTTTTAATTCTTGTTTTATTACTGTTTATAGCAGGATCCCTACTTAATTTTAAAATTCATATTTTTTAATACTCTTGTATTGTATGTGGAATATCAGATCTGCAACATGCAGTGGCCAATGCATTAAAATCTGCATTATTAATTAAGGCACGCACATTAATTAGATATTTATACAATAATAAGCATTTTGTGGCTTGAACATATGTGACTTTTTGAGAGACTTGTTTGTCAGTATAACACCGGAAGCTTATGTTACTGAGTGTTTTACTATTATTGTATTTATATTGTTCACAGAATGTTTTTCGTTGTTAAAGTATTGTTCGCATATTTTGTGGTGTATGCGATGGTGTTACTTTAGTATCGCATCAGATATTCAAAATAACTTGAAATAAAAGTTTAATAGCTAATATTATCTATATGCACGTGTTTTGTAAAATAATGTATAGATAATAAAAAATTTTAAACTTTATTTTTGAATCAACGATATCAACAGTAATGCTGCAAGGATACATTTTTCTTTAACGTATATTCTCACTGTCGAATGGAATGCATATGAGGAAGCTAAGTGTTAAGAAATATTAACTGAACTTCAGAGTATAAATCTCAGTTGTTATATATATACGATATCATATAGCGTTATTTGATATTACAGTATGTTGTAATACGAAAGACAATTCCGCGAGGTCCCCGAAAGTTCTGTTTCAAGAGTAAATAAAACAAAAATTAAGAGTAAGAAATATGTTTATTTATTGCTCTTGAAAGTTGTATGTCACGTTGTATTATAGCCTACATAATTCTTCTCGTGATTTATGGCATGCGCATGTTTTACTGACGTCACGATAGTCCAAATTGCAATGATAAGCGTCCTTTTTCTAATGTTATTTTAGTGTCAACTAACTGATTGACAGACAACACACTGCTGTAGATTGGTGAGAGTGGCTAAAACAGCTGACTTATTTCGGCGACCTTTGGTCCCCTTTCAGGGAAATAATATCCTTGTATAGTTTGGAAAGGTTACGAGAAGTCCTTATAATGGGTAGATCTTAGTTTGCTATGATGTATTATTGTTCACAGTAACTAAAACATTCCTAACCATTTATTTTTCAGGTATGATGCCCCTATGGATATTTACTCTAGGCAAGACGCTCTTTAATGGAACTACTCGAATTCCATTTAAAAACATTTTCATTTCTCTTGTGAGCATGGTGATACCTCTAGGGATTGGACTATTAATCCAAAAGTTCTTTCCGAAGGCAGCCAAGTTGGGGCGCCGTATCCTAGCTCCAGCATGCATTTTAATGATTATTTACATAGTGGCTTTTGGAACTTACGCCAACCTGTACATGTTTAAACTTTTCTCTTGGCGAGTGGTAATAGCTGCCCTCATCAACGTGTGGTTCGGATTCCTTGTTGGAGCTCTTGCTGCTCGCCTGATTGGTCGACCTGTTGAAGACGTCATTGCGATCGCCGTTGAAACCGGGGTTCAGAATACAGGAATCTCTATCGTTCTACTGGGTTTCTCCTTGCCGCAACCAGATGCAGATTTGGCTTCCGTTGCACCTGTCGCAGCGTCTATTATGATGCCAATTCCTCTGGTGATAATTTATATCATTCAGAAGATACGAGCTTGCTGTCGTAACGAGCACAAAGATGCGGTTCAAGAAGATGTAACGAAAGAGGAAAAACACACTAAAGTTTTGGAATCACCTACCAGCACTGATACTACGATAGCTGTCAATGAGCACATGTAATAAATGAAACTGTTGACGAGTACATTTTTAGTAGGTAGATTACGTTTTACGTCCAATATTAAGAATCGCAGAAATCCAAACTGCCATCAGGAGTCGTGAAATACATGTTTCTCTCTGGACCTTTTATGTAGGGTAATGCTTTGCTAATTCAAAAATACGAAACTAATAAATAGGTAAGACTTTCATTTATCAAACCAAGTGCTTTGATTTTACACGAAAGACTAAAATACAGACCTAAGCATACTTTAGTTTTCAGAGTAGACCAGGAAGAGTGCCATCAATAATATATCATCTTTCACTGATGTTTTATTAATTAACGAACAAAAATATTTGGAAATTAACAATTTATCATATTAATCACAAAGCTACACAAGGAGCTATATGTGCTGTGCCTGCTGCAAGTATCGAAACCCGATTTTTAGCGTTATAAGCCCCCAGACTTGCCGCTCAACCACCGGGTAGCGACAAGGATTATTAATACGTTTTCGTAAAGAAGTATGGGAATCTTTAGCGCTTCTACTTTGGGTAATTTTTGACAAACAGCAATAGTTGAGTATTAACAAAGAGTATGTCCTCCGGTGGTCAGTGATAAGCTTATGGACTTACAATGCTAAAATCCATGGTTCGATTCGCCGCGGTGAACAGAGTACGGGTAGCCAGACCATTGTGTGGCTTTATGCAAAGATAAAAAAAGATAACTATACGTTTTCGCTCCTTAAATAAATAAGGACGTCTTTTTCACCTCTGTTTTTCTAATTTTATAAATTAGTATTATCGTGTTCCCCGGTGAGTCAGCGGTACGTTTACGGATTTGCAACGCTAGAATCCTGATAGTCCCTTAGCACTAAATTAAATACAAGTATTATCTTCATGTCATATTATGTGCTAGGAAGACACCCAACAAGTAACTGTTCGTAGTTTAGTATTTGTTATTTTGTTGATGCTGTTGTTAATTAACTAATCTATATTAATCAATTGATTTTCGTGCTGAGCGTGGCCTAATGCTAGTTTACTAATTCCGAATTGAACTTCCAAGGTTCGACTCGTGATATATTGCTGAATACGCTCCGTATACATTCAGTTGTGAGATCATTCAGTAACTACATCAAAGGGGGCGCTGCTAAATAGTTGTTCACACTCTGGTCAGCAGTTCTAAATTAGAAAAGGTTGAGCCCGAATTTTGGGGTTGTCTACTCAGGTTGACAATACTTTTATTGTTGGTTTTCAAATTGAACTCGCAATTATCATGGAAATATAAAAATTTGGTACATAAACAATAAATTAAGTTTTTTATCTCGGCAAATTTTGATGATTTGTGTAGCATTTCTTAACAATGTTATCTTTTTTTAAGAATATAGAAATAAGTTTCTGTAGCTTTCAGTTTTAGAAATTGATCACTGAAGTTGTTGATTAGCGATATTACCCTATCAGCCAGTCAGGCTACTCATGTACAACTCAAGAACAATTAGATCCAAAATAATAATAAACGTTATATGTAACTACTGAGAGCAAGAAAATTTCGCGAGGGGGCGCTCTTGAGAACTTATATGAATTTTGTAGCACCAACTATATCTGAATAATAAAGTATAGAGGAATACGCCGTGGGTGAAAGATGACCATCTTATTTTACTTATTTCACGTTTATTTTGTTATTCAATGCTGTATCTCAATAACTGCTAGTTTACTTTGACATTTTCTTCGTATAGAGTGGAATGTAAGATGTAGATAACATTGAAACTGCACTGGTTGGATGGAAATTAAAAAAAAACAAGTTTTTGTTTGAAATTCGTATTTTAAAGCCTAGGGTTTAAAGGTATTTTTTTGTTTTTAAGTGTTATGTATGTTATCTAATCATTTAATCTGTAATGACCAATTTAAAGATTTTATGGTTTGTACTCGTATTGTATTGTGATAGTTAGGACTAATCTATATTTTTCATTGACGTCAACGTGTTGATAAAAACATTAGGATGTTTTTGCTGCTTTTTCTAAGTTAGCCATTAGATTTTAGAACTTTATACGATTATTTCACCACATATTTTATTGATTTTTCACAGAAGATACGCTGGTACTCCAGTTTATGTCATAATATTGTCCTAACCCTTCATTATGTAAAACTCAGCAAACAAGAACGCAAAACGAATCTTTCATGGTTTGTTTACATCTGTATTTACAAATAACTCGAAATAAGTACTTTTCTAGCAGTTCCCCGGTAGGTCAGTTGTATGTTTAGAGGCTTACAACGCCAAAATCTGGGGTTCGATTCCCCGTGGTGGACAGAGTTGAGATTGCTTTTTTTCTAAAAACAATAAGAAACGTCCCTACTAAGTGAATGTCGTTACAACTAACAGTCATACTTTAATGTTATTATATAGCTAACAAAAAGAAGATTAATTATTGTTAATAACCACATTCTTGTATGCAGTAATAGAGTAAAAAGTGATGGCTTAGCATCCACGTGACGACACGCCAGCTGGTTTTAAAAAAAAACACCAGGTTGAATTCGTTATTGCTGCGCATCGGATCAGACATGGTGCAGTGCTTTGCTGTGAAATACCGCCGTCAAAGTGAAAGAGGGAGTTGTAAATTCCCATAGGATCATCAATGAAGAGGTGGAAAGAATTATACAGGTAAAGTACACAGAATAAATGTGTGTGTTTTTTAAGCCGAGCACTATCTAGTTCACAATACTCTTAGCAGAGCTCTCAGGTAATTGATTTTGGAAAGATTGGGATTTTGTGTTGATGTGTGGGGTGGGGGTGAGGAGACCCTCCACCGAGGCATTCTGAGTAATTTTAAGACTTTATATGCAGCATTTTCAGAGTATTTTATTTAGGAATTATTTAAAACTGTAAAATTTCATAACAACTCTACTACAAAATATCAATACTGCTTCCACGACAAAGTATTTGCGTGATTTTATTCAACATTGAAAATTTCATTACATGTACCAGAATGTTGCTTATTATAATACTATATAGCTTGTTTTAGTAAGTCCTTCAAGGGTTCATATACACAACAGGAATCTTTATTGGCCATTATTATGGTTATCAGTTAGCCAAGTTTTCCATCAACTTGAAGAGATGGTCGAAATGGGGTTTAATTTTTTCAAATCCGTGAAAATACACATTCTTTCCCTGTATATGATTGTGTTAAAATCACTAAAATTTTAGCAACTTTACCCAGTCTGCCAACTATATCTGAGCTAGTATTTGCTAGTTTAATGGAACACAAATGTCCCCATATAACATTTGTTTGAACAGTTGAGACAGTTTCTTCAGCACCATTGTCATTAGGTAAGTATTACTTGGCAGCATTCCAAACTCTCTCTCTGGGATATCGGCATCCTGGTATTCTATGAATTCTTCGTAAAGCACCTCCAGTTCACTGGAACTAAGAGTAAAAAAGGCGGGATATCTTTCAAGGGAAGAACTCTATATCCTGAAAAACTGCGTTGCCTCTTTGGAAGAAATCAATAAACTTGGCATGTTTAAGTGTGTCATCATTCTGTGGAAGTTTGTTGAATGTCTAACCCATTTGTAGAACAATTTACTGTGCCTTTCTTCTACATCACCCCCGTCAAAAAGCTTGTTTAACAGTAGCTCTGTCAACAAAAGCTGGTCATCACATAACTTTTGACTTTCCCCTTCAAATTTTACATCAGAAATAATTTGTGCCACATTTATGTTTTCGATGGGAACGAATTTCCCTTGGAGACGCTTAACATAATCTGTAATGTGGTTATCAACTTCATGAATGCATGGGTCTTCTCTTTGAAGAAAACGATTCAGTGTGGTGATTGAAGGTAACACAGACTGGAAAAACGTGGTAGACTTTCACTTCCTGAGTTCGACATATAATAACAGTGCTGGAAATATATCAAGATGCCACCTTACAGCAGTTTCCAGACTCAACCAACGAGTACTTGTATATTTCATCACCTTCTTTATAGTGGGCCGTTATAGTTCCATTTATCATGTATGTTGTCTTTGTAGCAGCAGAGGCATACTGTTTAGCGATTTGTGAGTCCGGGAAAATGCTTGAAAACAGTGAACTCAAGTGGTTAGTGAAAGCAAGAGGAATGTTGTGGTTAGCCAATGCTGTTGCGACTTTAACCTCAGCTGGAATAACCTGCAATGTTAACAAAATCATGAGATACTTTAAAGAATACCGTCAGATTTTGAGACTTTCCACTAAAGTTCACAAATTAACACCTGCTATTATCTTTAGCATCATTTTAAAAAAATTAGTTACAAATTTCATAAAACTGATTACTTGTACTATTTATTTTGATTTAAAATAATTTAATAGTTTCCCTATTGATTTTATCTTTTCAAAGTTTTTTGAACGTAATATTTGCTAAGCTCAACACCCGTGGTCCTCTTGATAGAAATAATTTAAATTGAACTTTAAACCACTAAATTTCTTTAATTGCAGAAGGGCCGATAGGACAGCCTACACCAACTCGAAACTGTGCAGCTGTCACTTCAAAGAACATAAAAAAGAAAATGGTCCAACCATCTTCGAGTGGAACGTAAACAAATCTTTTGACTAATACCCAGAACCCAAAGTATCACGGGAAAGGTACATTATCTTTGAACTTATATAACTTTCTGTCAAATGTAAATAGATACGAGAATTTTTATTTACTAGTATAACTTATATATTCGTCTATTTTTGATTTCAGAAGGACATTCTCAGAGATTCCACATTTTAGTGCTGAAGAAACCAGCGTCAAATCTCTGTGTGAAATAGATAGATCAATTTCTGATTTGATTATCAGAATCTGCAGAACTATTTTAAATCACAAAATCAGGGAAAATAAAGGGAAAATACTGGAACAGGAGAGGGAGCTTACGTATATGAAGAGCCATTTCTCATATAATTCCATTAAGAAAGATTATTCACTTGTAAACCATTATAAAGGTTTACCCAATACAAAGGACTTTGATGACTTGTTATTTAAGTTTATGCTGTCGCTTTAATTTCGATTATTATTATGGATGGATAGTCGACTGTATTTCTGGTGAGGAGCAATTATTCATTACTTTGATGAAACTGAGATGCAATTTCAATCACATTGATTTGTCAATTATGTTCTCGACTATAAGTCACCACTATAAGTAACATCATCCTGATATGGTTGCACGTCTTGCATGAGGTACCATATGTCGGTATGATACAAGGACGCCCTATACAATCAGTTGAGAAGAACAAATGCTATCTTCTGAGCTACTTTTCCACATTTAGCAGTTCCAGGATTATCTTGGACTGCACAGAGATCCAGTATGATATACCATCCAACATGGAGAGCATTGTGTTAAACTTTCACATTACAAACAGCATAATACACTAAAGGCTATGGTTGGAGTAGCACCCAACTATTATCACATATACCAGTGAAATGTATCCAGGCTCAATAAGTGACAAAGAGATTGTCCACCATAGTGGTGTCCTGAAACATATGAAGCCTGGAAGACCTTGTGATCGCACATAAAGGCTTCCTCATACAATATCTCATGCCTCTACAAGTATCTCTAAATCTGCCGCCATTCTTAAACAGTGGTCAGTTTATCGGGACCCAGGCTGAGATCACTGTGCTAGGCTTCGTGTGGAGAGGGCTATCCAACGGATGAAAACTTTCTCAATTCTAGACCATCTTCCTCATCAATATCAACCATTAGCTAGCAAAATAGTCCAAGTTATTGCATGCTTAGTAAATCTTCAAAATTCACTAATCAAAGAAACTGCATAAAGTTTGTTCAACAATTTTATTCAAATGCTTGTTTCATGGTCACTGACTTGATAAATGAGATACATGTAACTAGAATTTGTATGGCTTCCCAAATTCTTAACATCTGTACCAGGTGCCAGTCTATTGGGATCTTTAAAATGTATATGAATGATCAACTTTCGTAACGTTCATTACAGTAAGTATACTAATTAGATACCATGCTGGTACATACAAGTTCAAACCCGATTTTGTTCGTATTCTCAACCGAGTATTGAATAGCTTTGGATACACAAGTTTTTAACTTTAATCGTTGTCAACAAATAAAAAAATGTCAAGTCGTGATCAGTAAAAGATTTTATTGGTTTATCAATCGAGTGTTCATTGGCATGAAAACATGTACTTTGTGAATAGTTTCATACATTTTAGTGACAATATAGTACATGTATACATTGACATTTTACACTGCCATACTTAGGTAACACAAACGAAGTATTATAGGTATAAACACTGTTATCTTATTTTCTACGTGTATGTTTTAACAATAAACGCTAATCAATCCCACCGTTCATAAACACAGGCAAGAACTTTGTGAACAAAAAATCAAGCAGTCCTGTGATATTTTCCATCCAAGCGGGGTCTCGGTGAACTAAAAACACGTACATGTGGCTAGGAGATCAAACGATAAAATCACACATATCCTGTTAGTAAGGTACAAGTTTCCTTGGACCTAGTGGTAATATTTATACCCGGTAAGATCACTGATGTTAAGCTGTGGTATACTCTCGTTTTCCGGATCTCATTTCATAAAATATCCTCTATTCACAAGGTCAAGTATGTGTGCTGTAGGAACATTTCACTTCTATAATGGTAGTAGCACTTACACCACCATCAGGTGATTCACCCAAGGTTCTAGACAGGTGTAGCCACAAACCTCTCTCCTGAACTTTCTGGTTAGTGACTTCTTTATAGGTAGACATAGTGGATTTTTCGTATTGAAACCACTATTGTATGGCTTTCACACCTTCGATGTCATGTGATACTAAAAACGTTTTCAACAGTGACTTGCTTGGACGTCAAAGAGACCAAAGTTTGAAGCTGTGACGCGAGCCTTACGATATAGAAACCACATGGGATTTAGAGTCTTCGATATCCTAACGCTGTTTTATGGACAGTTGGATATTTTGCAGAGAAATAAACTGGGTTCTCGGCTTTTGTCTACTCCTCTCCTGTTAGAATATCTTCAATAGTAGGTGATGGCAAGTCTGAAACCTCTGGTTCAGGGGACAAACACCACGCAAGACCCTTGAAACTATCGCTTAATGTGAGCTCCTGGAGGTACCAACTGATATCCCTATCAGCAACTGGTCTTGTTAAGACTTTGAAATTTTTGGAAGGGTATATTTCATCAACGGTCCTGTAATAAGAGAGAAATTATTAATGACAGGTTCTGTAATAGGGATAGGTTCATTCATTCAGTTGTTTATTGTGCCCACTGGCCAGAGGACCTATTATCATGGTGCAGTATCCCTTGTCTGTCCGTCCATCGTTCGCCCATCAAGTAATTTATCTTCTATTGTCCAGGTGGTTAGGGCGCTTGACTCGTACGTAATCTGAGGGTCACTGGTTCGAATCCCCGTCCCACCAAACATGCTCGCCCTTTCATTCGCGGGGAGTTATAATGTGACGGTCAATCCCACTATTCGTTAGTAAAAAAGTAGACCAAGAGTTGGCGGTGGGTGGTGATGAATAGCTGCCTTCCCTCTAGTCTTACACTGCTAAATTAGATATGGCTAGCGCAGATAGCCCTCGTGTAGCATTGCACGAAGATCAAAACAACCACAACAATCTTATATTTTTGTCTTCTTCTTGTACAAATATTGGGAATTAAAAAACTATATTGACTTCAAGTGTAGAAATGTTGGTTGAATCTACTGATTTTTATTTATTTTTGCTAATTTTTGATTTTTTGTACAAGCATTTTATCTTTAAAACCAGTTACATTTAATCTTGCAAATAATACTTTATGAGGAAGCGCCTTCAGAACCTAAGGCTCTTTTTTATTTAATTCAAATATGTCAAGATCGTATTACCTTGTTTTTTGTCTGTTCTTCCTCTTGATCCATTGGCATTCTTTGTCGGTGGATGATATGTTGTGATGAGCATGGAGGAGGGACACCGCAATGTGGTGACAATGGTATAAGCCTCTCGGACAGTTACAGTTCGCTTGACTTATATAACCATCATCTGCTACTTCTACCTGAAAGAAAAAAAGGAATTTTTCATCTGCCGACCAATAATATGTGTTTTTTAATGTATATACTCTATTTTGCTTCCTTGCATTTTCTTTCATTATAAAAATATGGAAATATTTATTTAAAAATAGTTATCAAAATAAATAAATTCACAATAAATAAATAATTAGACTTAATCTACAAAGTAAATAAATAAGAAAATAAATATTATGAATGCATACTCGAGTGATGTGAATAAATGAATAATAATATAAACTAAATAAATAAACATATTTAAGTACCGGTAATAATAAACTACTGTGGTCTAGGCCTAATAATATCATGTCTACCCATATTGAATAGGCCTACAAAGCGGTACGTTGATCTAGTCTTACATTAAATTACATTGACTTTGTATGTCTTGTCTTTCATACTCGCATGTACTGTTGCATTTATGCAACCAGTAATAACATCGTATGTAAATTTCTCAAGTCGCTGAGATTTAACGCATTCTCTCCTTTTTTTGTTTTATCTGTATTCTTCACTGGAAAAGAATTTGGCGACAGCAAATATTGCTATTGATATTAGCAAAACCAACCACGATTTTGTTTAGAACCAGCGCGCGTGACGTCACACTTTTCAACCGTATCTGGACTGCCTACAGTAACATTGTTGAGTCATTGTTTATTAATATACGTAATATATATATATATATATATATATTGTTATGGAATTGAAATAACATAGTTCCTGCATTGTATGTTGTTTACCATAATATATCATCGAAAAGTATATGTTAACGCATTATACCATATAAAGAAAGATTGTCTTCCTTTTATAGTATAAATATTCCATACGTGTTTGAACACTTAATTTTCAGTACCTTAGGTACCTTTTATCATATTGTGAAGCGTGTTGATGAATACTGAAAGCATTTATATTTTTAAGGTAAAATAAAATAATGAGTAATTGTGAACTAAAAATGTAGTACGCATGCTTGAAACGTAACTTTTAATGGACAAAAATGCAATCTATGTACCAGAGAAATGAGGTGTGTTTTTTTAAAGTAGGTAACTTTTTATAGTGTAACATTAGGGTATATTTTCTGGTAACGATTTGAGTGTTAGAATTTTCTAATTTCTAAATAATTTTTTGGTATCTGTGACGTGAAATATTTTTCCTAAGTATACTTTCGCATATACACATCGTAGTTACAGTTACATCTGTATCAGTGGGAATGAGAATGTATGATCTGTGTAGTTATTGGTTATTTATTACTACAGCGTGTCTTATACTACTTAATTAAGATCCCAAGTATGAGAGTATCTAGTTTACAACAATATTGGGCAAAACTATCAGGACGTGCTAAGCCTAAATGCTGTTTAAAGCATTCGTATATCTTATAGTAACAGAAAAGTGTATTAACAGATTTTTATATCTCTTTGTGAGATTTCGAAAGGTATCTAAAAGATTATCGTTATATAAAAATGAAATATATAATTATGTTTTTAACAATGTAGAATTTGTTTAAAATAAGATATTTGTGTTAAAGAAATAAAATTTGTTGGTGAAGCATTATATAGTTGTATACTGTTTTATTGTTCATCCTGTGAATGTTGCACAAATTTTGTAAAATATTTCTCTTTTCAGTTATTGAATAAAAATGTATATGTCCCAATTTTCATCTAAAATAGATCGCAATGCAAAATTTGTTTGGAATTCAGATATCGCAATGCAAAGTTTGTTTGGAATCCAGACCTCATTGAAAGATTATATTCGCGTGTGGGTGTTTATTTGTAAGGACAAAAGAATAAGACATGTTATTATCTTGTTCGAAGATTACAATCTACTAGTGGGTGTATACTTTAAGGTAGCACAGGAAACACACCTTGACGAGAACAAAGAAACACAACGCGCCCATTGGTTGTTAAAATGTCAATGTGTTTGCAAGAAAAATTATCCTATTCTCACAAAAACAAAAGTGACGTATCGTTATTTTTTCATGTAATATTGACCGTTTAAGAAAACTGACCAAAGAAGATTGTCATATAATTTTTAGTGAATAGATTAATATATGACTCAAAGATATAATCTATAATGTCCCCTTCCAACTTCCCGATGGCGTAGTGATATGCTTGAGAGCTTATAATGCTAAACTTCGTGGTGCAATCCCTATTGTTGGTGTAACGCATATAGCTCATTGTGCAACTTTGCGCTTAAATAAGAAATAGTTCTTTTCAACAATTTTCAAGTTAGTTAAATGATATGATGATAGCTTGCTTGAACGACATAAGACCAGGGACAGTATAAAAATTACGGTATAAAGAAATGAATAATACGTGCTGATAACCTTTAACATCATAACCTATTCAAAAAGTGTAATCTGATGAGCTATATAGTATATCTACACTGTAGTTTCCTTCAATGAATCAAAATATAAGTATGAAAATTAAGCTATATATTATGCTGATGTGTTTGTGTTTTTAGATTTTCATAATTCTACTGCAGTGTTAGCGATAGGGAAGTCACAAAGCTTTTGATTTGAGGTCAATTGGAGGCTGTTTTATCTGCTTTTTTTCAAACTGTCTTATCTTATCTTATCTCAGACATATGTAACGTCAAAGTAGTTTCAAAGATACCTAAACTCCACGTGGTGCTTTTTGGCTGGTCATGGCCTATTGACAGACTGTGAATCTAAGGGTCAATGGGTCGCATCCTGTTGTCGTAAAACTGCGCCCCGAACTTTAAGTCTGTGGATGCGTTATAAAAGTGACGGTCAAATCCAACAAATGAGATCACTTTACAAAGTAAAGGAAATAGGAGACACTAAGCATGTCTGAATATTACATAGTTTCAACTTTTCATTGCCTTTAGGTGGTATTTAGCAGTTCCTAATTTTAAAATTCAAATCCCAATGAAATAAACTTGTGCATTGACCAAAAAGCAGATATAACTTTCTCTCGCTTGTGTACGATACTTAAATAACAATAAAAAACAGGGAACATAACTTAATAACAAACAAATTACAAATTAAAACCCACAATTGCAATTTAAAACAAACTTTTCAAAAAACAATATAGTGATGTGGTATCTAGGTTCACTGATGTCCAGTAAATAGGGTTAAAAGTATCCACAAAGTGTAGATTCTGGAAATGTTATGCTAAAAATAATTCAACTATGACATCAAAGGAAAGAAACACAAGTAAACAAATAAGCAAAATCTTTATTTCAAATTGGCCGTGATCTTTGTTCTGTAGTGACTATACAGGCTGCAAGGATTGGCAATAGTCTTTCTCTACACATTTCTATGCAGGACTAGATGAATTCTTAACATCTCGGAAAGCAAGAAGGACTACTTCCTTCCAGTCGTTAATTTTTGAACCAACTAACCAGCCTATCCATTCCTTTTATGCCTCATTTCCTAGAACACTGGTAAGTTTACGTGTGACCCTCACCACTGTAATTAAGCCAAAAGCTTTTGCCACAAATGGTGAGAAATATACGCACGTTCTCACTTTGCCATTGGGACAAAGAGGG